GAGCGTCGAACGTTCGAAAGGGACTTACTTACGTACGTATCTATGTATGTATATATATATATATATATATATATATATGTATATATATATATATATACATGTATGTACGTATGTATGTATGTACGTATGTATCGAGAAAGGGAAAAAGAGAGGAGGAGATAGAGAAGGTATTCTCGACGAAAGTCGGCGAGAGCGAGAAAGCGAACGGTGAAAGACAAAGGGAAGACAGGTATAGCTGGATCGTAGAGGGGGCAAAGGGGTTGTCTGCGCCTTGTCTGCCGGGAATCAATCACGGTATCAGTGACGCTCAACCGCTGTCCACCTGTCGATCGTGTGAAAAACATCTCCTTCGAAATCTTTCTTTCTTTCTTTCTTTCTTTCTTTCTTTCTTTCTTTCCCGTCCCCGTCGTTTCGAAGCGCATCATCTTGTGTGCAGCTCGTCATCCTTCGCATCGAGATTCCACAGGCCTCGACATTTCGTAAATACGTTTCCTCGAGCAATCGTGGAGTGGATCGGTGAAGAAATGACGATGCACTCGTTAACCCGGTGACGAGACTAATTGGACGTTAACTACCGACTTCCCCCTTAAACACAGTGGAGGAAAGGGAACGATTATCGTTTTCCGCCGTGTTCCGCGAAATCGAATCCATCCATCGTAGGGAAGGATGGCAGCAAATCGAAAATCGAGGCGAATCGCGGCCCGATCGAGGCGTCGACAACAATGCCCGCAACGAGGCTCGATCGGCGAGAGATCGGGCACGAGAGTGGCGTTGCGGGAGAGGGGGTGATCCTGGCCAAGGCACAATGGCCGGACGCGGCGGTTCGCAATAATGGAAAATAATTAAAGCGGGGAGAGGGGGGGGGGAGGGGGGAGAGGCGGGTTCAAACGCGGCGACCCGAGATCTGCCCCGGCGATCGGCCGTCTGCGAAAACCCGCGTCCGACCATGTCCAATGCGTCTCGTCGTTCGAACCAATTTCTTCGAATTGGAGCGAATCGGCCGATCCTCGACACTCGTCCGAGAGATTATATATTCGATAACGAGGATTCGATGGACGATGGATAGGGTTTGTCATACGCGTTTAAGTACGAAGAGAACGATCGCGAAGAGATAGAAGAGAGGAAAGCGATCGAGGAGGAATAATTCGAGGCACGG